GAGGGGAGGGGAGGGGAGGGGAGAGGAGAGATCAAAAGAGAAGTGCACCGCTTATAGGTTCGGTTAGGGGAAGTCTTTATGCTATGCTTTCTCCTGTTGGGGTCAGCTGTCCACCTGGCCTGGCTCTCTCACAGGAGACGTCTCAGCTCAGTCTCCCCACAGTGGCCTCTGATCTTGTTCCTGCTAATTTCCTTGGCTATGTTTCCCCTAACTAGAATGGCCTTGCTTGTGGGGCCTGTCTCCCTGACCAGACTGGGAGTTCCAGAAAGGTAGAGGCGTGGTCTGTCCTGCTCCCTCTTCTGTCCCCAGCACCTAGCGCAGAACCTGGCACACAGTCAGTGCCAAATGAACACTTGCTAAAATGGGTGAACACTGACCCACCTGCTGCTCCTACTGCTGTCTTGCCTACCCTGTCTGGAGCAGGGGCTCTGCCGGAGATGCCTTCTGCCTAGCTTGTCACTCACTAACTTACCGATTGATTCACTGATTCATTCACATCTTTGCAGAGCGCTTTTCATGAGATTTCAAAATGAACGAATGATTGAATAAGCAAACATCCGGAGTTTCTCATGCCTGTTTAGAGGGGTCTGATCTTAGACCCATACAGTGGTGATATTCCTTAAGTGCCAGCCCTCTGCACAAATCATTCTCCCAGTTTACAGATAAGGAAACTGAGGGTTTAGTGGGTCAGTAGGACACTAGGGAGTCACATCCGGTCAAGGCTCCAACACCTTCTCTCTGCTCTTCCTGCCCCTCCTGGGCCTGTAGGCTAATGCTGCTGGCTCTGACCCCGATCCTACAAAGGGCTTATGATCTGTTCTGGCACCAGGAAGATTAAGGGTGATGAGTCACCCTCCTCTGATGTCATTCCTGAGCAACAGGCAGTCCATGGGCTCCTGGCATGGGCTTGGCCTCCGGGGGCATGCGGATCTCACCCGCTGTACTTCCTTTGCCACCACAATGGTGATTCTAAGAGGCCCACAGCCTTGCAGTCTAGACGGGCCAGACTCCGGGGTCCTGCAAAGATGGCTGTGCAGAGGCAGCTCACTGACATTGGAATCCTACAGACTCAGCGGCCTCCACCTGTGGCCTGTCCTCTTTCTTGGGGAATGAAAGACAGGAGAAACAGACCAAGCTCCATGGTTGTGCGGGACGCTTTCTACCCTTCCCGTGAGACCCCTGGAAGGACCTCACAGAGGAGACCTCAGCAGGGGTGGATTTTCTCCTTCTCCGTGCTGGGTTGGGTGGGAACTGGTAACTCCCACGGAGGCAGCACAGATCTGTGAAAAGAGCACTGTGGGCAAGCTGGTTTCAAGCTGTGCAGCGTTGGGCAAGTAACTTTGCTTCTTTGAGACTCAGTTCCCCCATCTGTGAAATGGGGAGACAGCTCTCTGGCCGGGTTACTGTGAGGGCCGAATGCAGCAATGTTTGTGAAGAGTCTGGTGGTGTGGATGGAGCATGGATGAGGCTCAGTAAATAGATTTATAAACAGCAGCACCCATGGACATGGCCAACCTTGCTGGGAAACCCACCAATTTTGTCCTAAACATGCCCCCCACGTTTAACCCTGTAAAGCTGCTAAGCATGGTTGTAGGAAGAACCAATGCTTTTACTCATTTTTTTTATCCTTACAGGAAATGGGAGTTGGTTAAGTACCATCTTCTTTATTCTACCCTCCTGGCCAAGCCCCTGGGGTTCACCTGCATAGCCACAGGTAACTGAGTACCTGCAGCAATTCACCTGGTGCTCATGGCGGGCCAGGCATGGCTAGTTGATTCACACACAGGCGCTCATCTACCCAGGCAGTAGGAGGTACTATTATTACAGATAAGGAAACTGAGGCACAAAAAAGTTAAGTAACTTGCCTAAAGCCGCACAGAGCTGGGATTTGACCCCAGGGAGTTTGATCTCCGCTCTGAACCAGTGTGGAAAAATGCCTTGGAAAACCTGGAATTTCTCTCTTAAGTGGGAGAGAAGGAACTACATTAAAATGTGAAAGAGACACACAGACTCCATGTCGGTGAATGTCCTCCCGCTTCTGTGCTCAGGGCACCCAATTAAACAGCGGACTGCCACTGATATAATGATGTATTTTTATCCCATATGTATTTATTGAGCACCAACTGTATACTCAGAAAAAAAGAAACTAAACCAAGTTGTCATAGGAGAAAAAAGCCAACGTGGTACATTCACAGTGGTCTGGCCACCTCTCAACTTATAATTTGCACACAAGCCAGGGGGAAATATGTACTTCTGTGACACACTCTGAAAATATGGTCTGCTAGGAAAATTAATAACATGAATTTATGAGGATGTTTGTCAGTAAAAATAAGGGGAGCAGTAGCTCTTTCTTAACCGTCTGGTGTGTTCTGGCCCTGCACTAGCTGTGTTAGATGTATTATTCCTAATTCTGATAATCCTACAAGCAAATATTATTCCCACTGTTTTACAGATGACCAAATTAATGCTCAGAGAGATAACACAACCAGCCCGGAGTTTCCCTGCTGAAGAGTACGTAATTCAAATCAGGCATTTTTGATTTTTTTTCCCTTGGTTTTTTTTTTTTTTGAGACAGAGTTCTACCCTCTATTCTGAGCAGAGTGTAATGTCGTAGCTCACCGTAACCTCAGATTTGAGCTGTGGGCATCCTGCTGCCTCAGCCTCCGAAGCCGCTGGGATTATAGGTGCTCACCGTGGCGCCTGGCTAGGTTTTTCAATTATTTTCATGAGTCAGTGTCTCACTCTCACTCAGACAAGCCTCAAGCTCCTGAGCTCAAGCAATCCTCCCATCTTAGACTCCCACAGTACTGGGATTATAGGTGTGAGCCACTGCGCCTGGCTTTCTTTTTTTCTTTTTTTTTTGAGACAGAGTCTCACTATGTTGCCCTTGGTAGAGTGCCATGGTGTCACAGTTCACAGCAACCTTGAACTCTAGGGCTCAAGTGATTCTCTTGTCTCAGCCTCCCGAGTAGCTGGGACTACAGGCCCCTGCCACAGCGCCCAGCTATTTTTATTAGAGATGGGGTATCACTCTTGCTCAGGCTGGTCTTGAACCTGTGAGCTCAGGCAATCCACCGGCCTCTGCCTCCCAAAGTGCTGGGATTATAGGCACCCGGCTTGCATTTTTGATTTTTGATCACCAGAGCCACACTGTCCCTATCAACAATAACTGAGGTGTGGGGAGTGACCCTACAGGGCAGCACCATGCTGAACTGTCTCGTGTAATCCTCACAATGGCCCTTACTTTTGGACGCAGTGGAAGCATATTATCAGGTGGAGGCAGATTATCATATGCTGGACTGTAAAAAGGCCCAGAGAAAAGCGTTTGTGGCTAATTCTCATTTTTTGCTGATCTATAACCACACAGCCGTATGATACAGCATAGGGTGATACAGCACAGCCGTATGCAGCCCGCGCGGCGAGGTTCTAAGCCTGATCCCACTTTCTCCTCACTGTAGAACCGAGACATTCTCATCACCCCACTTTAAAGATCTGCCATAAAGGCCAGAGAGGGGACTGATCAGACCCAACACACACAGTGCATCAAAGCTATTGGGGGGGGGGTCACTGAGTGTGAGCTCACTGAGGTCTCCATCCCCCTGGACTTAACTGGTCTGGAGAAGGGGTGGCTGGGCCTCATATTTCTTTTTTTTTTTTTTTGA